GGGCACTATCAAAAAACTGACAAGAAAACTCACAGAATGGTAGAAAGCATTTCCAGATTACATATCTGATATGAGATTAATATGCAGAATATAGAAAGAACTCCTATAACAACAACAAAACAAACAACTCAAATTAAAAATGGGTATAGGACTTGAATAGACATTTCACCAAAGAAAATATAAACATAGTCAATAAGCACACGCAAAGATGCTTAACATCATTAGTCCTCAGGGAACTGCAAATCAAAACCACAATGAGATGCCACGTCCCACCCACTAGGGTGGCTAATACCACAGAACGGAAGATAACCAGTGTTGGTGAGGCTGTGGGGGGACCGGAAGCTCTGTGCACTGGGGACGTAAAATGGCGCAGACACCGTGGAAAACAATTCCGCTGTTCCTCATAGAGTTAAAACAGAATTACTGCATGACCCAGCAACTCTCCTCCAAGGTATGTACCCAAAAGACTTAAGTACAGGGACTCAGACAGACACGTGTGCACCAATGTTCACAGCAGCACTACTCACAACAGCTAAACAGTGGAAACAACCCACGTGTCCATCTGCAGATGACTGGATAAACAAAACGCTGTATATGCCTGCAATGGGATATTTATTCAGTCATAAAAAGGAATGCGGCTCTGATACAGTCTACGACATGGATGAACCTTGAAAACCTCATGCTAAGTGAAATAAGCCAGACACAAAAAGACAAATTTTGCATGATTGTACTTACACAAAACATCTAGAATAGGAAAATTCATAGCAATAGAAAGTGGATTAGAGGTTCCAAAGGGGAGGGAGAAATGGGGAGTCATTGTCTATTGTGTGCAGTTTCTCTTTGGTATAATGAAAAAGTTCTGGAAATATATAGTGACAGATGGTTACAGAACAATGTGAATGCAGTTAATGACACTAAATTGTACACTTAAAAATGGTTAAAAATTTTGTTATGTATTTTTTCCACAATTTAAAAAATTTTAAAACGACTAAGTGATTCTGTTCATCACGATACACTATTATTGGAGTAAAAAGCCAAGGCTGGAAGAAGGTCAGAATGTATAAAGATGTTCCTACAAAAGAATAATAAAAAGATAAACAATCCAATGAAAATGGAGAAAAGGCCTAAACAGGCATTTCACAAAAGAGGAGCTCCACGTGGATAATAAGCATGAGAAAAAGTGCTCAACATCATCAATCACCAGTGAAGTGCAACATTTAAAGGCTGGAAATCCTTAAGATACAACATCATGTATCTATATCTGTATACAAATGGTCGACCTCGATAGTCACGTTGTTCAAATGTTTATTACCTCACGACTTTTTTTCCCTGCTTGATCTATTGGTGATTGAGGAGTATCTATTCTGAATGTGCTCAGTTATCCTGTTAAAGGACCAGTCAGACTTGGTCACTCCTCTGCTCAAAACCATCTGCTGGTTTCCACCGCTTTGAGATCGAGCCCTCCCTTTCTCTTCCTGCTGCGCCTCCACTGCAGCCAGTGGCCACCCCCTCTTGGTGAAGTGCTCCTCCCACACAGAGCTGCAGGGTGTCCTCTCTCACACTCTTCAAGTCTCTGCTCCAATGTCACCTTCGCATACAGGCCTGCAGTGACCACTCTTCACACTGCAACTGCATTTTCTTCCCACGTTTTGAAGGGTCACTCCTTACCTGTCCGTCAATTTAATACACTCTTACCACGATTTTATAGTTCTGACATTTAAACTGCAGCTTCAATTGTAAAAAGGTGGTAGATTTTATTTTTAACCAAAAAAACCAGCACCCTTATTATAAAGAAAATACACCATCTTCTTAGATAGAAGTGGAACATCACACAATGAAATTACTGCAGCCAGAGACGTTAACATGGCAATGAAAAAGGCCTGTGCTCAGAACATTGTCTTGAGAGCACATATGCTCAGGAAGTGGAGGAGGATCTGCAGAGGTTGAGAAACTTGTCTCATCAGAGAAGGAGCAGTGAAAGAATAAAAACACAGGCAGAGAGGGATTTTCTTAAGGAAAGGTGGTTCTCTGGAAGACAGGACTGACAGAAAAATAAGCCCTGGAGGCTTGTTCCCTCCCAACTTCTTGTAGCTTAGCAGAAAGCCAGCTCAGCAGGCCTGAATTCAAAAACAGAGCAGATGTACCTCTGGGGGCTGCAAGAAGCTCTCATGGCTACATATTCACACAGATGTTCCCTGCTCTCCTTTCCCAAAAGTATTTAGACTATTACAGGCACTGGGTCCCTTTCCTGAGTCCCTTTTCACAAAGCATCCAGCCCATCTACTGCTGGCCTAAGCACACCTCCATCGGGGACCACTAGAGCTTGGAACATGGGGCCATGCTGTGACTTTTCTGCTGGTAAATTTCCCCCAGTCACCCTACTTTGTATATATACCACGTGGCCTTAGTAGGGTGCGTGTGTGCCTTTGCTCTCTTTGCACAACAATGGGCAGTTGTTAAGGGAAATATGAGGCCTTTGAAGGCCAAGTTAGACAGCTATCAAAGAAAAACGGCAATGCATTTAGACCTGAGTACTCTTAAAGAGGGAATCAGAAGCCTATGTCTTGTTATCAAGCTGAAAGATCACTTGGGTCCAAAGACATTTAAAGAAGAAAGGCAAGGCCTGAGAGAGCCTGGGAGGACTGCTAGGGGGAGGTGTTTTCAGAGCTAGAGAGAGAGAAGCCACAACCGGAGCATGGGCCCCTCTTGGAACTGGGCCAGCAACACCCAGTTGTACAGAAAATGTGGGAAAAAATGAGTGGAATACAGGTGGCATGGCTATAAGTGGGGACAAAGGGAGGGGTCCTTATCTACCTGGAACAAGGTCTGTCCCTGACAGTGCTCATTAGAGGAGATCTGGGCAGGACGATCAGATCACCAGCTGGCTGGGTCAAATGCTGCTGTCAGTAGAGAACATCTCCAGCAAGAGTATTCAACTTAGGAAGGTGGCACCTGCAGGAGTAAAGGAAAAGCTCTCCGCAGGGGGCGCCGCCCAGATCTGAGGATGCCTGCTCACAGGGGTGGAGGAGCTATGTCATTAGAGTCCACCCTCAATGAGCCCTGGGGTGCTTAAGAGGCAAATGCAGGGCCGGCCCGGTGGCGCACTCGGTAGAGTGCGGTGCTTGGGAGTGTGGCGGCGCTCCCGCCGAGGGTTCGGATCCCATATAGAGACTGGTCCACTCACTGGTTGAGCGCGGTGCGGGCACGACACCGAGGGTTGCAATCCCGTTACCGGTCACGAAAAAAGACAAAAAGAAAAAAAAAAAGAGGCAAATGGAATGAAGAAGCATAAATGTACTGCAGGAGGGAAAAAGGCACCTTAGAGGCCTAGCGATTGGGGCTGCCACTGCCGTAAATTTCTAAACTGTGCATGCAAGAAGGCAGCATCCCGTCAACACCACCATCTAGAACTGAGGCTGTGCCCAAATACGAGGAGATGCCCTCCAGCTAGGAAGAATACAGGTGCTAACTGACCTCTTAATGGGAGTTTTTTCCCAACTGAGTTTAGATTCACAGGTTATAGAGACTGAAAACTGGCATAGAATTCTTCAGTCCCAATGAAATGAACCAAGGTTTTCTCACCCACTCACCTAGCTCAGATAAACTGTTTTCATCAGTCTTTGTCTCTGGGACAACCTTTGCCTGAGATATTGCTAGGGCCTGGTGACTGGCTTGTTTTCTAAATGTTCGGGCTGTGGGGGCCAATGCTGTGGTAATCTTCATGTCCTGATAACTTCTCAGACTCTCTTATTTTTTGATATTGTTTTAAATGGGGCTTATAGAAGACTGTCATTGAACCTGGGGCCTGGGTAGCACTGAGTCAGCAGGCAGGCCACCTTGGATCTCACACTAAGCAACATCCTCCTTATCAAACTGACCATCTGCTCCCCACCTGCTACCATTCCTGTTCTCTCTTGGTTGGTTCTAAACTCCAGTGGGGCTAGAGGGGGTGTTATTATTGGGTAACCTTCCCGAACTACAACACCCACCTTCTCATTTATTGTATAGGCATGTTGTTGAGGACAGTCAAAGCAACTGTAAAATAGTAAACTAGAGCTGCAGTGTGTGTGTGTTGGGGGTGGCAAGGAAGAGAGAGAGTGTGAATTCATGAAGACGGCCGAAAACTCAGCAAAGCCCCTAGAGAATTATTCACAGCTACCAGAGTCCAACGATATGTTAATAAAGATGAAGGTAGAAAACAAGATGGGCCTGGAGCACCTGGGAGATAAAACTAAACCAGATACCTCGACAGGGACAAGTCTGCCCTTATCCTGTGAAGGCAGAAATGGACATGTGCCCTCACCAGTCCCAGGTGGGAGAGATGGGAGCCTGATGAAGACAAGCTGCCAGCACTGCAGAACCTCCCTTCAGCTCTCCAGGTGGGGGGGTTCCACACCTGTGCACACACCTCAGCCCCCAGACCCGTTCCCGGGAAGTGGCAGATGCTGGGTAAGCAGAGTGAGCGACCCCTTTGACTATGCCACCCAGGTCAGTTAGATGAATAGGCCAGTCTTTACAATGACTATAGACAGCCATCATTTCTATCTGCTCCTCTCAATCTCAGTGAGTCCCTCCGAGACAGCACTTTACCACCTTCATTCAGTCTCCAGTTGTGCTAGTCCCACTTTCCTCACCATCCCCACTGTTCTCCCCTCCCCTCATGACCCCTCAGCCCACACACCACATCAGGAATACCCACGTCTCACCTTCTCAAACTCAACTACTTGAAAAGTCTCCAGGGTGACTTGCTCCACACCTTCTATCAGGACTCATGGAAAATGTTCAAATTCCTCAGTCCTTATGACTTTCCCTCCGCCCCCAACACACATAACCACTGACAAGGTCCTCCTTGCTCCCCCCATGCACACCTGAGCTCCAGCCAAGACCACTCCCTCACCAGTCCATAGAAGGCGTGCTCCTCCGTGCCTCTGGAGGAGGACCTTTCTAACAACCCAGACAAGCTCTGAACTTGGTCTTTCTTCCTTAATCTCCCAACATACTTCGACTTGCCCACTGCGCTGTCCCCCAGGCAGATGATCTTCACGTTGTCATCAGCATCGTACTTCTCTTGGTCCAGCTCGTAGGGTTTGTTTCTGTCCCCTGCCATTGGCTCCTAGCTGTAGAGAAGGGCCCACCTCAGGGGAGGGGACCTTGTTACTGTCTGGGAAGATCAACAAGAGGCTGCAGTTAGAGAGAAGGGAAGCCCCCACAACCAAATCTGTTTCTTCCTGTTCCTGGATGGGACAGACAATGAGCTGATGAGAGCAGGGCCCAAGGACACATTCACATCCTTCTCCATTCACCCCCAACTTGGCCTCCACATGTTGAGTCTTGGGGTTGTAACTTTGTCAGTAACCTCTTAGGTTGGTTTACCCTAGGTCATCTCCCTAGTGCAGGTGAGCTCAAGGCCCATCCCTTCCACTCCCACCCCGAGAGACAATATTCTAAAGCCATGCTGAAGCTTTGTAAGTTCCACATACAGAAGTTTTCTCACCTGTAAAACAGGGACAAAAACAGTGCCATGTCACATGGTCGATGTGAGAGACTGGAAAAAGCCTGAGCTCTCATTACTGAATGACACAGACCACACAGCCAAAGACGCCTAACCCACATTCCCGGTCCTCTGCCCTTATGCCTCTCACCTCCCCTTCATTTTCCATCCTACTGCAATCAACAGCTGCCTCTTGCTCCCTCAACATGGGTATCCCCAGACCTTCCTCTCCGGGGCCAAGTATCTCCTAAATGCTGATGGTGGCAAACTGTACCTCCACCGAGATTGCTTCCCTCAGTGTCAGACTCAGATATGCATGAGATGCCACTCTTAGACTGGCAGACTATGCCACACAGGCACACATAACAAACACAAATACTTAAGTCCTGCCCACATCACCTCTAGCTCTGTTCCACTCCCCTCACACCCAAATATGACTTTGCAAACATTCCTGAGAATGCACCATAGCGCAGACTCCGAGCTAGAGGGGCACACAGAAATGATGCGACGACCACGAGGTAGCTGGAATAACTTCCCCTTACTGAGTATTCACCCTAAGCAGACTCGCACCGGGTTCGAGACCCGGTGACGGCAGTCTAGTGTGGTAAGAGCTATGACAGAGGTGTGCACACGGGTAGGAGGTGGAAAATGGCGACAGGGCCCTCGAGCCCCCGGCTGTGCTCCCGCACGACTCCGGCCTCTGCACAGGCAGGAGCTGGGCCTCGTCTGCGGAGGCGCCCTCAGCCCCCAGACCCGTTCCCGGGAAGTGGCAGATGCTGGGTAAGCAGAGTGAGCGACCCCTTCGAAAGCCAAGCCCGGCCGTGTCGCTCCATGCTCGAAGGCCTTCCACGGCTGTCGCTGTTGTCGCGATCCGGTGGGCCAGCTCGCTCTCACCGGGGAAACACCCCGGGCCCAGCCACGTCTCGGCACCGGCCCCTCCAGGCTGCCCCGACCCCCACACCACCGCGCGAACCCTCCCGCCCGGGCCCTCAGAGACTCCGAGGGGCGGTCCCCACAAGCTGAGCCCGCCGCCCGGGTGCCTCGTCCTCACGTGCGACCCCGGCCCCGGGCGGGAGACACCAGGGACGCTGCCGGTCGTCCCGGGACCTCGAGCGCCGCACGGCTCTTCTGGCTCTTCCGGCTTGCCCGCGTCCTGGCCGCTGCTACGCAACCGCGCAAGGACCCCGAGCAGGGCTGCCCGGCGCGGCGCCTGAAGGACCCCTGCGGGCGCGGGCGGCCAGCGCGGTGCCTGACGGAGCGGGTGGCTCGGGGAGTGGCTGCTGGGGACACGGAGGCGGCAGGCGCGTGGCCTGGAGGCTTCCGCAGCGTGCGACTCTTTGATGGGGCGACCT